GGCCATAACATGAGGCGCATAAAAGAATTTTCCGAGCGCTTTTCATTGCACACTAGTAAACTTGGCTAACTGGATGGTATAAAAGGCGCCGGATTTGGCTGCTTTTGTTGATGACCAATAACGGCCGCGAACGAGCCGTGCACGTGCGCCAGGATGCTGCTCCAAGACGTCTGGCTCAGACCGTTTGCACTTCTGGTGAAAATATGGTAATGGGACGTGTCGAAAGCGTGGATGAATTTAATTTGCCAGGCAAATTAATTTATTAACAGTTATAATCCCCGTTTCTCGATGTTCCTCGGTATTATCATTAATTTTTAAAGGTAGTGTGCCACCTTTGAAAGATTTCCCATTTTATTTTTCCTAGGATAAGAAGCTTCTGTTTTTACCTAATATCGCAAAAAAATCAAAAATGGGCCTGGAATAGTGCCTTTTTCGCCTAAAAGTTTTTCGGTTTTTAGATATGTATAACAACTGTAGTGGGCTCACCTGCAAACAGGCGTCGGGCAACAATCGCGAATGCGGCGCACTTGTGACAATAAGCAAAGGTCATTATAGTGTTACGACCATACGACGTACGGGAATGAGTTATCAGCTGTCTAATCGTAGACAACACAATGTCGAGCCTTAAACTGTAAGCCCGTATTGGTATTGTTTCTTTTATTTGGCTGTCGAACATTATTTATGGTTTGAAATATGATTTTATGTAAAATAATTGATATGAAAAAGCCGTCTTATAAGTTATAACCCCATTTCACCACACGCAAGTGGCAGAAATGACAATGATCAGCTGACGCATTTTTCTTGGCCGAAGTCAGAGCGCTCGGCCCGACGCACCACGCGTATTTGGAAATTCCGACCTCGACGAGCATCAGAAGCCACCTAACAGGCGTGTTCGAAACCGCAGGAGATGATGATGAACGGGTTTATCGAAACTTGATTGGATGAGCATATCGGTAATAGCGATTTCAGTGTGTGCATTTATTGTTCATAGTGGTGTGAAATGTGGTTGGGGTACGACCGACAACCCGTCGGGGCGAATTTCGCACTGGGGTACTCAAAATTTGAAGAATTTAAGACGTTTCCATGAGTTTTGAAGGTATGGATAAGTTCTAAAAATCCGGTTCTCCTTATCTGGGCCATTAACTCCATACGGTCCAGGAAAGCTGGCACACTACCTTTAATCTGTCACCCGAATTGATTGCACAGCTGTCAATCAAAACGACAACTCAGTGACGACTGGCGTCAGTGCTTTCAATGATGCACCGACAGTCCCCCTTTGACGGGACCAGGGGACAGTCCGACCCTGCCGCTGTCGTGGGACCGAGTGCTCCCAGGGAACAGTCCGAATCTACCCCTCTCGTGGGACAGCTCCCAGGGGACAGTCCGTCCCTGCCGCTGTCGTGGGACAGCTCCCAGGGAACAGTCCGACCCTGCCGCTGTCGTGGGACAGCTCCCAGGGGACAGTCCACCTTTGACGACCCCACCTAGGTAACAGTCCGACCCTGCCCAGTCCGGCGCCGTGCGCGGCTCGGGGACGGCCTCAGCCGTGGCGCGGGCCGTGCTCCAGCGGCCAGCTTTGATGCCACACCGGCCGTCTGGCAGTGCTGATTGATTGGGCGCCGAATCGCCGTCCAAAGGCCCGCTATTATGGCCGGCAGATGAGCGGCGATCATGGAACATCATCGGTCACTGTCCGGACCGAGCTGTCAGGGGCGGACTGACAGGTCCGGGCCGAGCTGGTACACCCGGACTGACAAGGGACTTGGCAGGCAGGGCACCGGACTGACAGAGGACGGGCTGACAGGTCCGGACTGTCTGAGAGAACCGGACTGTCAAGGGACTTGGCTGACAGGTGTCCGGACTGACAGTTGGACCGGACTGACGGGGGTCCGGACGGGACTGTCAGGGGATGAACATTGAACACCGCGGTGGTGGTACGTACGTTCGAGAGGTCTGTTCGACGAGTCTGTTTGTATCATTTGTCCCTCCGTATAAGGAGACCGGCGCTGACGGTCTGTGGGCGGCCTGTCGCCGCCGCCGTGTCGCCGTGTTGGTATTCGGCGCCGCCACTCGCCTCTCCGGCGGAAAGTCCCGCGGAGCGCCCGCCCGCCGGCCGGCCGCTGCCCATCCCTCACATGACCTCACCATTGGCACAACAAAGGCCGAGCGGCGGCCGCACCCCGAGTCGGCCGTGGCGCACGTCCCTCATCATCGATCACGGTATCAATGCACAGCCTTTCACCGGGCCGGCCGGCACTCAGCCGCGGAGCCCGCGGACAATGAGTGTCATCTGCCGCCCCGTCCCGCTGCTGCCAGCGCCCGTGTGGGACCACTGGACTTGTCCCCGTGTGGGACCACTGCTCCCCTGGGCCCAGTTTCACCAAGTGGGGTAATTTCGGCATGGGGTAGATTTCCATTCTGCCCCATGGGGTAAAATCCAGTTTCACCAGCTCAAACTACCCCCATGGGGTAGTTTCGGCATCTCTTGTGAATGTTTGCTAAGCAAGCAGCATCAGCAAAACAACGGAACGTTTTGATTGGTCGAGAATTTCATTTCACGACGGCGTGAAATGAAGAACACATTTGATTTGGCTTCTTGTATTTGTCTACCAATCACCTTGGTAACGATGGCACCATGGCACCTCAGTTTCCAAGATTCACAACTTTATTGAGAAAGGAATGCAATGCACAACCGCGAATCTTGATGGATGGATATGATGGATGATGGATGGATACAGAACAAAAGGCATGTTTTATTATCGAATAGTATCAAATGTTTCAAAATTAATTAGTGTTTTAGTAAATTAGATGTTCAGATGAGATGTTTTAGATTACATTAGATGTTAAATTAGATTAGATGTTAAGTGTTTTATAATAAGAATATTTTAGTAAATTAGTGCATGTTTTAGTATCGATTGCTTGGTATTTTTGACGACTTTTAACTACAAATCTTTTGCACCAGATGCTTTTTATTTCTAATGTGCATTACAAAATACATACGGTACAGATGCACGGCACGGCCCTCGCCCGTATAGGGGGGGGGGGGGTCGAACGGACCCCCCCCCATGGTTTTTCGCAAATAACTCGCGTAAAAAGCGGCCGATCGCGACGAAACTTTCAGTACCCTCGCGTTCATCAATTTTACACCTACCCTAAAATTTTCATGACCCTGACCCAAATGACCTTTGACCTGTGACCTACTTTTCGAGACCATGTTTGGCCGGAATCGCGATTCGGCGTATGTCGGCTCGCATTAGCCGCGCGTTTGCAGTCTTTTCGTGGTTTCAAGCGTTCAAACATGTGATATGATGTTGCCCCCATGCATTAGGGTGGGTGTCAAGGTCACCTGAAGGTCAGGTCAGGTCATTGACCTTTGATGACCTCGGTTCACTTTTTCGAGTTTTACATGTTTCTAGACCAGTTTTTGGAGCTGAGTTCGAATTTAGCAACCATATGAACATTTACGAAGTAGTTTTGGTGCCTTCGTAACATGTTACGAAGCTGTTAGAGGCGGTTGCCACCTACTACGAATACCCTTACTGGTTGACCTGACCTGACCTGACCCGACCTGGCCTAAATGCATGAAGACATCATCTGTGATCAAAACTAACATGATATTCGTGATCAGCACCCCAAAAAAACCCATAACAGCCACACTTCACGACGTTCTAACAGGTCCCGATTTTCCCGACTTTTGGGTCATTGACCTGACCTGCAAGGTCAACCAATGACCTAGGACCTTAAAATTGGGCATCATCGGCTTCCTCTCGTCACGAGCAACACGCTCGTTTTTTCCGCGAAGCTCTAGCTCGATCAGGGGCGAAACGGCAAGGGGAGGGTCCAACGGACCCCCCCCCCCCCCCCTTATACGTTCGCGGCTGGAAAAACACCAATACGGGCGAGGGTTAACGCAACTTTATTGAGATATGCACAACAAAGACAAAAATGAAAAACAGATATGGAAAGTATCGAATCCACTTGGCCTGATATTTTCAACAACGGCTTATTACGAATTACTTGCACCATATGCTTTTTATTTCTAATGAGAATTACCTAGGTATGCACGACACATCCTCTTGCTGATTTAGGTACGGCATTTTTATCTTGAGTTCAGTTGTTAGCGTCTTGACATTTGTTGGATATTTGGACATTGACCGTAAGGCATATTATATGTAGGTAGTAGGTACCTCAAATGATAATTCGAATAGATCACACAAGTTGAAGTACTATGAATCTATGATCATTTCAACAAGGCACAGCGTCAGCATGTAACCACCGTGAAGAATGTGCGTTTTTATTGTTTATATTTCAAGGCTTCCTCATCCGGTATTCAAGGTCACTGTTGAAGGAAACCCTTTAATAGCTAAAAAAGTAAAATTCCCGGCATTCAGCTATGGGCGACATCTATAATACTTGTTTTCGTCTTGCAGATCACAAGAATAGGTGGCGCAGGCTACATGCAGTAAAATACTTGGATGAAACTTGAAGTATGTTATGAATAATGCATACTCAAACTTGACAGGTGATTGGTCTTCAATAAATGATGTTCTGATTATTGTTTTACTGTCAATTCTTGCTCACAATTGGTATTATATTCACAAATTACCCCACGAATGTCTGCCGTAATTTCGGTCGGATATTTGGGGTAGAACCGACGACAGCCAGCTGATTGATTGGCTTGTTCAGTTGCTCACGGACCGTGAGCATCTGTTTGCATGGCAAATTTGGGGTAAAATAAGAACTGCCCCATGGGGTAGTTTGGAAGTGTCCAATCAGAACCTACCCCATTTGGTGAAACTGGTTTGGGGTAGTTTCGCCGAAACTACCCCAAACAGAGCTTGGTGAAACTGGGCCCTGTTGTGCCCTGTCTGCACTGGCCAATGTTGCCCGGCCCGTGCCGCCGTGTGGCCCGCCCCGTGCCGCCAGTGTGACCCGGCCCGTGCCGCCGTGTGACCCGACCCGTGCCGCCGTGTGACCCGACCCCCCTCTCGTCGCCGCAGGACCCGGCCGCCGACACGTGCAGCTGGGAGCTGGTGGAGGACAGTACGTACAGCGTGCGTCTGCCCGAGGCGCGGCTCTCCGACGCTGGGTCGTACGTGGTGGCGGCCACGAACCGCCACGGCACGGCCCAGCGCACCATGTCCCTGGAGGTCACCGGCAAAGGTCAGTCACTGCACGGTCAGTGACACATGTAGGTCAGTCGCTTGGGTCAGAGACGTAGGTCAGTCACCGGGGTCAGTGACATAGGTCACTCACTGGGGTCAGTAATAGTTAGACCTCAGTCCCTGGGGTTAGTGACATAGGTAAGTCACTGCAGGGTCACTGACATGCGGCAGTCCCTGGAGTCCGTGGCGAGATCAGTCTTTTGGGTCAGTGAGGTAGGTCAGTCGCAGAAGGGACCCTGAGGAGCAGTTGGGTACCGGAGCTGGATCAGCTAACATTAGAGGAATGACCCCGTAGGCCAGTAATCCAGTAGGCCAGTAAATAGCGGCCAGTAGGCCAGTAATCAATAATAGCGGCAAGATAGACGCGCTGCACTGGCCAACGGGGTGAACTGACCTCGCCTGGTGCTCCATACTGTTCAGATGGTGAACATCCTCCCGATACTTTTTTACTGTAAACAGCCTTTTTACACCTCACGGAATATGTTGAATGAAATTCAACAAAATCAACGCAATACGTTAAAAAGCTGCACTGCAAATAAAAGGCTAAAACAATTAGCCAGTTGTATCGTTACTGCGCTATCGGCGCAACTTTGTGGCGATCTTCACAGAGGGCGACCGTCAATCGGTTTAGACGGCTTGCACCTGAGGGTTTTAGTGAGGGACCGTGAGATAATGCAGCTAATTATAAAGTGCTCATCGCCCGGGCGTGCCTTATATGCACGGCGGTTTACCAATTTATCATGCCGCGGCTTGATAAGGTAATTGTGTGTGATGTTTGTCGGGCGATATCGCTCCGATCCTGTTATGGTAAGTATCAATCAGCAGTTGCAAAATAATGAGTGGGGCGGTGGACTGCTGTGTAAACGTCACGCCGACCGGCCGTGCCGGATCGGCCGCGGGACAGCGGACGGCCACATCACTCACCCGGGCGATAGCTCCGGGCAGATCGTGAATTGGGTACAGCGCATAAAGGGCTTACATAATCCCTGCAGCTCGGCTTAAACTATAAATCATTGAACGGTTCGCCGTGTGACGTTCTAACTTTCCAAAAAATCTTTTTTCTCAGGTTTAGACTTCTGACCTTCCAGCAAAATGATAATCGTGAAGGCTCAATTTATTTTATTTATAATTAGCATTGATGCTTAGAAGTTTGCTTAGCTTTTGCTAAGCAATTATTCCCCGAGTATTTGCGAGGTAATATAATTTTGCTAGACTTTTGCTTGCGATGCTTAGAGCTTTGGAAAGATCATGTAGACGTTGTTTATGGGAGCTGAAACATGGGAACACCCAGTGGGTCATCGTCACGGATTTGTTCAATGCCATTCGTAAACTGAGCCCCCCTTCCCCCACAACACACACACGCCTATCAGCTTGTCCGTCAGAAGTCGGTTCCTAGCGAGGGGAATCTACTTCAGCCAACACGGCCGTTGAAATTCCTCCATGCCACGTTGCATCAGTGCAACATATATGCATGATGCTGCAGACGTGACTCATTGGCGACAAACTGCGGCCGTCACTCCTGGGTCGGAGAATATAGTTAACTTCACTGTACTCCTTCATTGGATGTACGGGACTCGTCTGACTGCGCGGTAGTTTTTTTTTCTCGACAAAACTGATAATACGTGATTCGAAGGCGACAGTCAAGGGGAAGTCATAAAACCAAGATGTGCGAAACTCCGCCCTTGGGATCTGGCCCATCATTGTCTAAAATGCCCGCCCAGCTGGCTCCAATAGATCGAGGTCGGTACTCGTATATTTGATTCTTACGCCGCTGGACTTACAGGTATAAAACAACTTAATTGGAAAATTTTGCTATCCTTGACTTAGAAATTGTCAGGGATAATCAATTCGGGCATTTTGAAAATTAGGGTCACATCACATTATCACAGCCCTAGCAGAAAGTGATGTGATTTTAAAGTGCGACCGAAATGCTATGTCTTACGAAAAAGGAAAAGTTTAACTTTATAGCTACCTAGGTAATAGGTATAACAGTAGGTATTTGAAAAATCCATTTTTAATGATCAAAATTAAATTTGAATCACATGGCAATCATTTTTTATCAACCTGCGGATTTTCTTCAATTGTTTTTGAAAATACAACAGTATCAAATATCTAGGCTCACCTTGTTTGGATATTTGATTTAAGCTATAAAAAAGAGTCCTTGCCGTTGTTAAGAGCTGTAGGTACTTAGTCTGGTGTGAGAAAGCTTAACGAAAACGATATTTTGCAGGTTGCATGTTATTAGAAACGTGTACCATTTTTAGAGAGGTGCCGAAAACTGTAAATCTCTTATCAATTAGCCCTACCTTACGGTACGATATCTGCTGTTGGTCCATGACCATCACATCCCATCAGAGTCGGGATGTCACCCGGTCATAGTCGGGATATTATCGGGTCAGTGTCGTGATGTCATCGGGTCAGGGTCGGGATGTTACTTCGGGTCAGAGTCGGGATGTCATCAGGTGAGCGTGGTGGGCGACCCAGCTGGACCAATATCAACCTGTCAGCTATTGTAACTTTGTTAGATCACGACAAATGGGGAAAACTTCAAAGTTACTAGTTTTGCGGAGGTAAATAGCGACGTTTATTTTCGCTTTTGACAGATAGGCTAGGCTTGTGATGGTTATTAGAATCACGGATTTACAAATAACTAACAATAATTGTTCAATGCCAACAATGCACCAACTAGTTACCAAATTTTCTCACTATTAATAATCCGTATTTACCAACATCCCAAGCTAATAATGACGGCATTCCTTTCTTTTTTCAGAAAACACATTACGGGGTAAACAGAAGAAACTAAAGTGAGTATCTCTAACAATTCATTATTGCGATGCATGCTTCCTGTTGTCACCATTCATGAAATGCTAAAAGTTTAGGCCATATTAGGCTGCCCAAAGCGTTGAAGTTATAATGTATTTCCAAGTATTTGCCATTTTCAGCTATCACATTTCATCCGTGCGGCACACTGGGGCTCTGCGTGCTGTGTGAGGTTCGCATGGCAGGGCTCTATGTAAATCTTGTGGGGCTGTATTTAGTTCTCAGCTGGCTCCTAGTAAGGTTCTCAGTGGGGCTGTACGGGCTGTATAGATGGTTCCCGGCCGGGTCGTGTGTGGCTCCCGGCCGGGTCGCGCGTGGTTCTCAGCACAGCGCCCTGTGCCGTTACAGCGGCTCGGCCGAGCCCCGGCCGTCGTTCGCCACTGAGCTGCGGGACGTGCGCTGCTGTGACGGAGACGCCGTCACGCTCAAGTGTCGTCTGCGCGCCGGCTGCTCGGGCGCCGCGGTTCAGTGGCACAAGGACGGCGCGGTGAGTGCGCGCGGGCTCCGCCTGCTCCGGCGGGTCCGGCGGGTCCGGTGAACAGCGCCCGTCCTTTCATTGGCGCCCTCCAGTCCTGGTCTCAGCTAAATCGGTCATCTTTGCAAATGATTACACACTAATAACGATTTAATATAAACATTTTAATTTATATAATTTAATTTAATATGATTTAAGTAATGACAGTTTCCGTCTGATTTTTTCGCACGTAGGGGAAAGTGGGGTAAGACGGTCAGGGTAGGTAAGACGGGCACCCCTTCTGCAGACCAAACCAATAGCGCTACGAGCAAGAAAAGTTAGGACCAGAATTGCCTTTCCCACTACACACCACCATTCAAGTCTGGTGAATTTGTGTTCAGTCGATAATCTTTTATTTTGATTTCTTTAAAACACTCATTTCATTGAAAACATCCATAATGTATTGTGCAAGCTTTTGTGTACAGCACTATAGAGTTAAAAACTCGCAATCACTTGTGGTACACTCATATGCCAACAGTGTTCATTTACGGCGGATTTGCTTTGTCTGCATCAAATTGTCCACAGCGAAAAATCGTGCTGAACTTCTGACATTGAGTTTGGGGTAAGACGGGCAACTATGAACCCAATGGGTCTGTAATGGTGAAAATATTTTTGTTGCTGTAGGAAAAAAGAAGCATTTCTAATAAGAATATGTTCGATTCCGATACTCACAGACATGTTAGCAATATTCCTTCGGCACAGTTTATTCTCGAATAATGAATGTGAAAAACGGTTCTACATGGCTTCTGAACTAGGGCCTATATAGGAGCATACGCCTTCTGCACGAATCTCGTATACTGCCATTTCCGAAGCACTTGAGACCAACGAGCGACTGTATAAATGCGGCTAATCTCGGGCATTTGTTGCGAGCTGCGCTGATCGGTGAAAGAAGCTGGCCGTCTTGCCCTACCCATGTGACCGTCTTACCCCATGGGGTGGGGTAAGACGGGTTTTTGCAAGGTTTTGCAAAAATAGCTGCAGTTTATTTGTTGAATCAGGTCTAAGTCTCATCTTCTGGCAAATGAAAGTAAAATGTCTGAAAAAGGTTTTCACCCAGTTTCCCGTTTCTATGATGTTTCTAACCGGCCGAAAAATGGCTCCAAAGTTAAGGTGCCCGTCTTACCCCACTTTCCCCTACAGGGTGTCCCAGAATTACCCGGACATTTATTTTCTGGCTAAAAGTACGATTGCGCTCGATTCTAATGATATACAAGCATCATACTTTTATAAGATATCCCTTAGCTATCGAGCTTGGGGACTGTGTGCTTTTGGTGACCGGTAACGACTCGAGTCAAGTATTATCCAGAGTCAAGTAAGAGTATTCCTTTTCCGTTTTCAGCTTAAGCCACTAATAGGCAACCATGGTGAATCAACTCCCGTTTTTAACTTTGTAAACGGACTTTCGGCATGGTTTTTGCTGGAGAGCTTCAGCAGCTCATCTGCAAGCAGTTAGAATTGAGCAAAGCGCAATTATATCAGCTAACGAAGCCAGAGAGAGCAAGAGATAAACCTGATTGACAAGCTTGGGCTCGGCCAAAAAGGGCCATGCACCAGTAGTCAAACGGGTGGTTGCTTGTCATGGACAACAAACGTCACTGATCTAGCTAAAAACTAGCTAAACGATAGATCAGGATTATCTAAAGAACCTCACTCTACTTTCCACCACTATCTTCGCAAAATTTTGGAATTTGGGGTCCCTCGCCTGAAAAATATGCGAAAACTACGGGAAAAGCAGCGAAAATCACTACAATTCATCCCAAAAATATAAAATATACAACGAAAAATTATATTGAAGCACACTTTGTGGTCTAACGAAGGTATTCTGTCATTTGAACCGCCCGAAAAAGGCGTGTGTGAACGTCAGATGGCTACAACGCCCCAACAGCAGAGACGGCCAGGCACCCGTCGAAAATCAAATTGTGAGACATTTCGAGCCACCGTGCACTCATTCGGCTTGATATGATGGCCCAACGACAGCCGTTAGCACAGAGTACTACTGCGGTAATATTCTACCAGTACAAAAACTGGATGCCGTAAACCAAATGGCCATGAACGGGTTTGTTTTGGAAACCAAATCTGTTGGAAGTCAAAGGTCCCGCCATGTTCAGACATGGAGCTTCTCCACTTCAGGTGTAAAAAACGCGACAAAAGTGGTGTAGGCAGCAATTTTTGTTTTGGGGGATAATGCCTTATGACCTGGGAACACTTTGATGTTAAGTTTATCTTATATGATCGTATTATCCTCCGGCAAGAGGTCAAAGAAAGCAGGCCTTCACCCAGTTTCGGGAGAGCCGTAAAACAACTGAGACCAGCAATGGCTGGCATTTTCAATCATTGTCGGCTGATCTTGTAACAAGCGTATCTATTACATGTGCTATGTCACAGCCACCCTAGTTGACTATGTAGGACGATAAAAAGAAAAAAGCGCAATCATGTTTGCCTTATTTTATACGCTAATTAACAATGTCCGGGTAATTCTGGGACACCCTGTATGTCATCGTGGCGACCGTTAATTAAGTATTGGTACTGTGATTTCCTGTCTGCACTAATAACTGTATGCTTATCTTTGCTCCGAGTGATATGTATCTGACTCTGATCCTGACTGACCCCCACTGACCCTAACTGGCCACGATTTTCCCCAACTTACCCCGACTGACGCCGACTACTATAACTGACCTCACTGACACCGACTAATCCCCACTGACCCCCCCTCTCTCCCACACTGCCCCCCCCCCCACTGCCCCTGACTGATCCCACTGACCCCCACTGACCCCCACTGACCCCCACTGACCTCACTGACCCCACTGACCCCCACTGACCTCACTGACCCCACTGACCCCCACTGACCCCCACTGACCCCCACTGCCCCCCCCCCCCCCCACTAACCCCACTGACCCCCCTCTGACGTCCGCAGGTGCTGGCCGACAGTGGCGAGTTCCGTCAGACTCGGATCGGCGACGTGCTGCGGCTGAGCATCGCCAAGGTGCACCCGGAGGACCAGGGCCAGTACACGTGCCACGTGGTCACCGATACCGGCCGCGCCGCCTCCCGCGCCTGCCTAATCGTCGATGGTGAGTGGTCGTTCAGTCGCGCCGTCCAGTGTCCACCCCCCGCCTCCCGCGCCTGCCTCATCGTCGATGGTGAGTGGTCGTTCAGTCGCGCCGTCCAGTGTCCACCCCCGCCTCCCGCGCCTGCCTCATCGTCGATGGTGAGTGGTCGTTCAGTCGCGCCGGGACGGGCCGTGTGGTGTCCACTGTCCAGTGTCCATCCCCGCCTCCGGCGCCGGGACGGGCAGTGTCCACCCCCGACACATCGGCCTGGGGGGAAGGGGGCATTTCACGTGCCTACCCCATTAACTTGGATTTGGGCCCTGTTAGCAATGAAAGGCAGATAAAGCATTGCAAAAGTACGCGGTCGCTCAGAGGGATCGTTGATGTAATTTCCCACTAGCTTTTATCAATGAAATACTTCCTGCATGCCTGCGAGTGTTTGAACGTCGCTGATGCAAAAGTGAAGAGGACGTGAAATGTCGACTTACGTGGGTACGTCACGTGTTAGCTTAGCCGTATTGATTTTGTCAGTAGTGAAAGATAATGATAACCGTGGTTTCTCGTCATGTTGGCGGCAATGAACAATAGATATCTTAAAGGAAGACTGCCACCTTCAAAAAGTTTTCTCAGATCGGCCTTTGATTTATTGCCTGGACAAAACAAAATTTTAGAATTCACCTGACAAAGTATCATCACGTGAATCGCGAAAAAAAATTGTCAATTATCATACAATTATCAATCGGTTAATGTCTAGCGACAATGTTTACACATCACTAGACTTCAAGGTCATAAAATTATTACATTTTATTTGAAAAAGTAAGGTATTTTATGATTTACTAATATATGATTTCATAAGAAATTGGCCATGTTTAATTTATTTTGCATTTAAGTTCGTAAAACATTTAAAAATCATGGCTCATTTGGAATGGGTCTGGCCCATGTTAAACCCCATTTCCCACACTTTTTTGGAAAAAATGAACTACTGAATATATAAGTTTAACTTTTATTTTGACACTCCAAAATTCTTCTCTGATCTCGAAACAATCAAAGTTTTGACATATATTTACCAAAAGATAAGAAAATTCATGTTTCAAAGTTATCGATAAACAGTAGAGATGTCGGTTTTCTTGGACTAAAAAAATGGCATCAAACTGAACTTTGGTCTCCGATTTCTCGCAAACGGGTTCGAATTTCGGAAAACCGACTTCAGTCTGGGACATAGGTGGCTCAGCTCTAGTGAAAACCGTTTTGTGGAAAAAAAGGTGGCAGTCTACCTTTAAACTTTAAAGCAACAGATAAGTCCGGAGAGGTCTGATGCCTCTTCATTTATGAAAACATTGAGGGGCCGCGGGGGAGTCGATAAATTAGTAACTGTAGTATACTCGTAATTCAGAGTGTCTGTTCGGATGACGTCACCCAGCACCCGTTCTTCCACGTTCTTCCGTGCCCGCTAGTCCAGATGAGACTCGGGTTATTCCGGGTCGTATGTGACTCATCCACGTTCCGCGGCCTTCGGCGTACTGTCAGTTTACGTGGCGAGTGCCTCAGACCCGAGTGGGTCCCCAGAGCCGCTGTGACGCCCGGCGCTCCAGAGTCCAGACTCGGTCCGCTGCCCGGGGGGGGGGGGGGTCTGAAAACGGTACCGGACCGCTGCGGTCCAGTCTCGCGGTGGCGGACGGTCAAAGCGCAGTCAGAGCGAAATGGGGCGGATCGCTGCAGACAGATATGGATCGCAGAATGTACATCGTTATCTGGGCAGTGGTATTGGATATGCATCTATACAGACTACAGCGAAGAGCCGGCAGCGGGACGGAATCCTGTGTATGTACTGTAGTGCAAGCGATTCAGTGGAATGCTTTAGGGCTCTATCGGGTCACCTTGGAAGCTTCTTTTGTCTATGCCTATTGATAAGCGCCATTGATAAGTGCCAGTCATAATACCTACCACTACCTAGATGTTACGACATACCTAGTAATTATTAATAAACATAACCCTTTTTATTACTTTGCAGGAAACAGTGCGTAAGAAGCTCATCTGGAGGCTTTTCCATAAATAAAGCACCTACCTACGTTAACATACAACTCACAACCAAAGTATCTGGAGTGACTACTTTATCGTGGCATGGTAAATCGTGCTTACTGAAAATATGAACGGCAGTGGTGGTCGCGCTGGTCACAGCAGTGCTGACCGCACCGGCCACAGCAGTGTTTTCAGTGTAGGTCTTAGCAGTGGTGACCGCGCTGGGCACAACAGTGGTGACCGCGCCGGTCACAGCTGCAGCCTTTGAACGTCGCGGTACGGTCTAGGTGCCAATCGGAACTTGGACCTTCGGAATTTCACAGGCAGCAGGCCTTGGACAACATTGGACAATCACCTCAGGATTTTATAAAGTAATCGTATGTAGCATTGATTGCACTGGTCTGCGTGATTTATAAGGTCAATGGTTTTTCAACTGTTTATAGATCAGTTTTTCACGCTGATTCCGGAAATGGAATCCGTTTTGCTCGATTAGCTCGATTTTTTAAGATACGTCGTTTTGCTCATATGTTCAAAGCTATGCTGATTGGCTTAGTATAGTTAATCACACAGAAGCATATATATGGTTAAACTGCAAACTGACCCACTATAAGTGAAATCCGATTACACTACACAAGCACTGCTGTGACACAAATGGCATTTTCACGGATTTTCGACTGTGTTGAGCACATGGGACGTCCCTCTTCAAGCACCAGCAATAGTCCGCCAGGAAGTTGACGTCCGACCGACCCTTATACCGTTTTTCCATCACACTTTGTGGCCACACAGTCTTTGTGGAAACATTCTACCTGCTCTTCACTACAATCACGGGAAATAATCGAGATGGGACCTAAAAAAGTGCAAAATGTATCAGCATGCCAACTCCAATGTGCATATTAATGCATCGGTGTGTATTCTTGACATAGTGTGGGAGCTCGAGCTAATCGAGAAAAATGGATACCTTTTCCGAATTCGGCACACAAAACTTGCATCAGAACAGTTGAGAAATCTTCCATCTTTTGGGAAAATGCATCAGTATGCCCACTCCAAGATTCATATTAATATATCAGTGTGTGAGCTGTTATCCGTGACATAGTGTGAAAACTGGAGCTAATCGAGAAAAATGGATAGCTTTGTTGGATTCAGCACACGAAACTTGTATTATAGAACAGCTGAGAAATCTCCAACTTTGGGGAACAATGCATTAGTATGCCCACTCCAAGATGCATATTAATATATCAGTTTGTGAACTTTAATCATTGATATAGTGTGAAAACTCGAGCTAATCGAGAAAAATGGATAGCTTTTTTGAATTCAGCACACGAAACTTGTATTAGAACAGCTGAGAAATATCCAACCTTGGGAAAAATATATCAGCATGCCCACTCCAATGTGCCTATAAATGCATCAGTGTGTGAACTTTTATCCTTGACATAGTTCGAAAACTCGAGCTAATCGAGAAAAATGGACAGCTTTTTCGGATTCAGCACACAAAACTTGTATAAAAATAGCTGAGAAACCTCCGACCTTTTAAAAAAAGTTTTGAAACGCAGGCCAGTGTTGGCGATTGGGAAGCTCAGCTGTCGATATAGTTAACGCTTTTGGGCTGGCCATGGTACATTTAAAGCAGCTTAACCCTCGCATTTGTGCGGCGTTTGCAAGCTTCTAATGTGTAGGGGGGGGGGGGGGGTCGGTTGGACCCCCTTGCCGTTTGGCCCTTGATTGAGCTAGAGCTTCACGGAAAAAACGAGCGTGTTGCCCGTGACGAGAGGAAGCCGATGATACCCAATTTTAAGGTCCTAGGTCATTGGTTGACCTTCCAGGTCAGGTCAATGACCCAAAGTCGGGAAAATCGGGACCGTTAGAAAGTCGTAAAGTGTGGCTGCTAAGGGGTTTTTCGGGGTGCTGATCACGAATAACGTGTTAGTTTTGATCACAGATGATGTCTTTAAGCATTTTGACCAGGTCGGGTCAGGTCAGGTCAGGTCAACTAGTAGGGGTCGTGACGGGTATTCGTAGTACGCGTCAACCGCCTCTGGCAGATTCGTAACATGTTACGAAGGCACAAAAACTACTTCGTAAATGTTCAAATAGTTTCTAAAAATTCGAATTCAGCTCCAAAAACTAGCCTAGAAACATGAAGAGCTCGAAAAAGTGAACCGAGGTCACCAAAGGTCAATGACCTGACCTGACCTTCAGGTGACCTTGACATCCACCCAAATGCATGGGAGCAACATCAAATCACATGTTTGAACGTTTGAAACCACGAGAAGCTTGCAAACGCGCGACTTATGTGAGCCGACATACGCCGAATCGCGATTCCGGCCAAACATGGGTTCGAGAAATAGGTCACATGTCAAGGGTCACTTTGGTCAGGGTCATGACATTTTCGGAGTAGGCGTAAAATTGATCAACTCGAGGGTACTGAAAGTTTCGTCGCGATCGTCCGCTTTTTACGCGAGTTATTCGCGAAAAACCATGGGGGGGGGGTCCATCCGACCCCCCCTACACATGCGAGGGTTAAATTGCAATGTTGAGGTCATGGTACATTGAAAGCAGCCTAAATTGCAGTGTTGAGTAGACTATTGCGCAATTTTCGGACATCTTTGGGCAAATGACGGGCTAAAGGCCTGGCTACACTATGCGTTTTCTTCGTGCGTTTTTTGCGTGTTTGCGTGTTTTGCGTGATATCGTTCTAGAAAAAGAACGATATTACGTTTTTGTGATGTTTTTCACCTTAAATTTTAGTTACATAAGAGTTATATTAGCTTTTGTATATAACCAAAGTAAAAATTATATTGTTTATAACTTTTTTCCTAGAACGATATTACGCAAAACACGCAAACCTGCAAAAACGCACGCAGAAAACGCATAGTGTAGCCAGGCCTTTACGGACATATCGTCGAAAATAACGGACATTGGACGGACATTGGACATACGTTTTCTAAAACTGGCACCACTAAAGTACGGTCCCACTTTGTAAGTTAATGTTCCGTGTCATTTCTTTTAGCGGACATCATTTTTGACAAGCACCCATCCATCTCCCTCCAAGGGTTGTAAAACTAGCAGAAACATTTGTCTTAATGTCCGATCAGCAATGATCTCGGAGCTTTGACGTTTATGGCTCATGAATTGAAATGAGTAAGCGGCTGCCGATATGAAGACTGCCTTGAGGAATAGGTTAGGTAACTCTGTTTTACTTCAAATGTTCTTCAGAAGGGTTGAATGGTAGACATATGCAGGAGAGCAGTGAATTTTCCATGAGTGCAGACTAGCGCTTCTCGCTTTGACCGTTTTGCATCGATCCTCTTCTCAGTGCTTTGACAGTAGGAGTATACCTACTTCAGGGCCATTTCATGACGTTGAAAAATCAATTCTGCCTGGCATGCGTGTGAAATTATTTTACGGCGGCCTGATTCGCTCGGAGGGCGGTGATTATGTGGAGCCGGTTCGGCAGTGCCGGCCATTACGCTGAGTTGTGGCGCGGGCGTAATAACCGCGGGTGACGCGGTGGCGGCATTCAGACCGGCGCGGCCGCCGGCGCCGTCAGACCGGCCGTCGGATGACGTCCTAATCGCCCGGTAATGGCACGCTGATGTCGCCCCGCCAACCGGTCATCGCCACAGCCGAACTGGGGCGTCAGGCGCTCATAATAGGTAATATCTGGCGGGTACCAGAGGTGGCCGAGGGCCGCTCACGTGGCTATTTAATGACGACTGATTACGAGCTCGACGCTTTTATGCGCAATGCACATTGCAAGTCATAGCTCGTACATCGTAGCCGCAACAAGTCGTTATTTTAATGAGGCAATCGTTTGAGTCCGTAAAGGTTTCCGTTTTCGGCCTCAGCGAACTGAGGATAGGGTAGCCCGAACTGGGGAAATGGTCGGCTCATAGAGAGGATTAGGTCGGCTGGAGCTGAGGGCTGGGCTAGAGTTGAGGGCGGGGTCGGCTGCCCATTGCATGATTGACGCATTGGATTGGATTGGCTGCAGCAAACAAGACAGAGGACACATTTGCAATAAAAATTGCAAATATGGAGATATGAAGTAGTGCTACGTTGAATTGTGACAGGTTGGATATGCTGTGATGTTTATTGTTTACCTATCCCTATCAATAAAGTATTTTGGTAAACTAACCCCTAGGCATTTACGCACTGTAGAGATTTATGCTCACGTCACTCATCATAACGTCATTCACGTCGTTGGGTAAATGTTTAGCAAATCATTTATGCCAAGATGCATGATACATAAGAGTTGTAATGCCGGGGTTAGAGAAGTGATAAGCCCACCTCCTTTCCCGACCAGCTGGTATAAGAAGCCTTCCCGTTTTTGCGCTGCCGGTGCGTTCCGCGACCTGTGACGAGCGCGGCCGTCTGTTGTCGGCGTGCCGGTTTCGTCACCTGCTATCGGGCGTGGGAGGCCGTGCGGCCGTCATTCACAGATGATGAACATGTCATCACCTTTATCGGCGCGCTGCCGGCCGCCCCCGGCCGATTAACTAGCGGCGGCGCGGCGCGCTGCAGCCGTTTTTCCGGCCGCGCGCTGGGACTGTTGGCGGCTCACTGACCGGGCCCGCGGCGCAGGGACCGGCCGTGGCGGCCCTCCGTACAGAGGGAGGGCGTGGGAGGCGCCCGGCCCTCTCAAAGGGCCGTGCCGACCGACCGCCGAGTCAGAGTGCACCCACCGGGCCCGGCTGGCGGCGGTGGCGCGGGACGGTCCCTGCAGTCGGCTGGTCGGCCGGACGGTCTGGGCCCGGCTGGCGGGGGTGCGGGACGCTCCCTGCAGTCGGCGGCAGTCGGCTGGTCGGCCGCACGGCTTCCAGAAGTCGAAGGCTTGAATCAAAAGTCGGACAGGTAGGCCGGCTTTCGGCTCTCTATCGCTAACGCGTTCCGAGCTATCGCGAGAAACGCGTCAGGAGCGCGGCACCATCGGAAGATCAAAACGGCCCTCGACTGGATAGGGTTCAGGTAAACGCTTAGAATATATCACAGAAATACATACGTTAAGCGTCAGATTTTGATCCATCCGCTCCAAGTGGCGCGGGGGTAAATGGTTCATCGCGGCCATTTTCTCCCCCGGTATATCGGGGCATGACCTGACTTATGATCTCTGCACATCTCATTAACCTGACCTGTGACCCCTGCCCTCACAATGCCCTGACCTCTGACCTCTGCTGCTCGCAGTGACCTGACTTATATCCTGTGCCCTCATAGTGACCTGACCTTTGACCTCTGCTCCCAAAGTGACCCGACCGGTGACTTCTGTTCTCACAGTGCCCTGGCCTTTTACCCCTGCTGTTGACAGTGACCTGACCTATGACCTCACAGTGAGCTGGCCTGTTGCCCCTGCTGTTGATAGTGACCTGACCTCACCTCTGACCTCAAAGTGAGCTGACCTGGGACATCAGTCTCTCTCATTGATCTGATCTGTGATCCCTGCCCTCACAGTGACCTGACGTGTGACCCCTGCCCTCACAGTGATCTGATTGGCGACCCCTGCTGCTCACAGTGCCCTGACCTGTGACCCCTACCCCCACAGTGACCTGACCTCTGACCCCTGTCCCACAATGACCTGACTTCTGACCTCTGCCCTCACAGTGCCGAAGGACAGTAAGCTGACCTGTAACATATGTCTCTGCCAGTACCCTGACCATTGACCCTTGCTGTTCACAGTGACCCGACCTGTGACCTCTGCCCCCATAGTGACCTGACCTGTGACCTCTACCCCCACAGTACCGGAGGACAGTGACCCGACCTCTGACCTCTGCCCCCACAGTACCGGAGGACAGTGACCCGACCTGTGACCTCTGCCCCCATAGTGACCTGACCTCTGACCTCTGCCCCCACAGTTCCGGAGGACAGTGACCTGCACGTGACGAGCATGCTGAGCAGCCAGGAGGGCCCTCCTCCGCCGTCCGTGGGCCGCCAGCACCTGAGCACCCGCGCCGCCGCCGGCCGCCTGCTCAGTCCGCGTCTCTCCGTGCCAAGTGAGTCCGGCAGCGAGTCCAACACGAGTCCGGCAGCGAGTCCAACACGAGTCCAACAGCGAGTCCGACACGAGTCCGACAGCGAGTCCGACACGAGTCCGACAGCGAGTCCGACACGAGTCCAACAGCGAGTCAGATTTTCCACGAAATTAGCGACAATGACCTAGCAACTCGCTAGTGCAATAAAGTGTTCGAAAGATACGAATTGTTGCCGTGTTATGATAATTGATCGCCAAGGCCGCACCCGACCTTTCCCACTCAACTGACTTCAGCTGGCTGCGGCTGCTCTCACCAACCGCGAACCATCCACTTCAGATAGATTTTCGCAAATTTAAAAGGCGTAGAGCTCTTGTGGGGGCTCTCAATACCGGGAGTCTAACGCGCTCTATCAACTGAGCTGCAGGAACTGCGAACATGTTGATGGTATCTACAATATCAGATAACAGGCAAAATATTTGTCTTGATGTTTCTTTTTATGCCCTTACATTTTGTGTTGTGTGATGTGATAGGTAGTGCCCGTTTGCCGTTTTAATGGAACTATGTAAAAATTATGTAGGTACTTTCAATTTGGGTGGGTACGTTGTTTTTCGGTCTGTATCCATTAAGTTGTGTGGTCATTGATGATGAGTCGACTGTCGAACGGTTACCGGCCCGATCGGAGGTGTTTTTGCCGTGTGTTCGCCCGCCAGTAGGTAGTCAGTTTTTCCAGGCTCGTGTGTCTGTGTTTGGCTAGCAGAGGCCAATCATACAGACACACCGGTCTGCGAGCCCGCCGACTCCTGTCACCGGGCAACGTGGAGCGTGCTCACTGAAGACGGCTGCTGCATACTCCGAATAGCGTGGTACTTACATACAGCGGTTCTAGGGACAGGTGACAGGGGCAGTCAGCTGCTAATTTGAGCCACTCGGCGCCGAACTGTACGCCGGCGTACCCTGACGGCTGACCTGAGCTGACCTGTGCCCAGGGACGCGAGCCGTCAGCGAGCAGCCGGGCAGCTACCTGCTGTCCACGGGCGGCAGTGCGGCGCGCGCCCGGCGCCGCCTCGAGGCGCCCCGCTTCTACGCCGCCCCCTACGACCGAACCGCCGAGGTGAGTTACATAGTGAACGCCGGTGAGTGTCACAGTGGAACACTAGTGAGTAACGTAGTGTAACACCAGTGAGTGTCACTGTGAACACCGGTGAGTTACACAGTTTACCACCGGTGTCACAGTGGAACGCCAGTGAGTGTCACAGTGGAACACCGGTGAGTGTCACAGTGTAACACCGGTAAGTGTCACAGTGTAACACCGGTGAGTTACACAGTGTAACACAGGTAAGTGTCACAGTGTAACACCAATGAGTGTCACAGTGTAACACCGGTGGTTGTCAAAGCACCGTCCAGCTGCACCTCTCGCTCGGCTGCCTGGCCCCACTAGCCCGAACCCCCGGCTGTTCCGCGGAGTGTCCGCCGGTCCGCCGGGCGAGCTCTGTCGGCTCCGAGTGTCCCGGGCGGGGGGGGGGACACTGGCCCCTATCGGTCCCCGGCTCTGCCGCACACCAGTCCCGTGTCGCCTGCGGCCACCGAGCCAGGCACACTGAGCGCCGTCTGACTGCCGTCTCTTCCAGGAGGGCGAGAACGTGACGCTCAAGTGCTCCGTGTCGGGCCAGCCGAACCCGTCGGCCACCTGGGACAAGGAGGGCGCCACGCTCAGAAACTCGGACAAATTCAGGTGAGACAACGGGGATCCCGCTGAGGAAGGCTGACCAAGTGCAGTGCGACGGGCCTTGTGAGCCTGGAAATTCTGGCGAGCCTTTCCTTCGCTATTCTTGTCTTCACCTATTCAATTTTTCTCACCCATCTCTCTCATTCTCATTCACAGTCACTTGATACCAACTCAGGGTGACATCTCCGTCCGTCTGTGTTTCCCAGGGTGCCATCTCCGTCTGCCTGTGTTTCCCAGGGTGACATTTCCGTCTGTCTGTGTATATTCCCAGGGTGACGGAGGCCGGCGATGAGCGGCTGCTGCTGATCCGCGGCGTGCAAAAGTCCGACGCCGGTCTGTACAGGGTCACTCTGCACAGTGACGCAGGACGGACCCAGGCCACCGCGCGGCTCTCAGTCATAGGTCAGAGGGGCGACTCAGGGCCGGGGAGGGATCAGAGGGGCGACTCAGGGGCCGGGGAGGGATCAGAGGGGCGACTCAGGGCCGGGGAGGGATCAGAGGGGCGACTCAGGGGCCGGGGAGGGATCAGCGGGCGACTCAGGGGCCGGGGAGGGGTCAGAAGGGCGACTCAGGAGTCGGGGAGGGGTCAGAGGGGTGGCTGCGGGACAAGGCTAGGTCAGGGGACTCAGGGGCCAGGACTAGTTCGGAAGGGTGACTCAGGAGTCAGTGAGGGGTCAGAGGGGGACTCGGGGGGCCATCGCTGCGCGTTTGACCGTCACAGGTCTACCTCGCCCCGTACCGGTCAACTGCAGCGCACCCGTCCCACCAAATCGACGAGCCGCTCCCTGTCTCGCTCTGTGCGCCTGTTTCCAGCTCTACTACCCCGCTCCTTTCCCCGTTACACCTCCCCTCTCCCGTCGCTGGCCGGCCCCTCTGTATATCTCCCCGTCCGGCCGGGCGGCGCCGTGCTCTGTTGGTCAGCAGTTTGTCGGCTGGGTACACGATATGGAGGTAGGCCGTGGCCCAGGTCAGGTAATGGACCAGGCGGCGGCCCGGCGGCCCGGCTGCTGAGCCTGCATCTCCCGCCGGGCGCCCTCACTGAGTGTGTTGACGCCTCTCAGATGTCGCCGTGACCGGGAGACGGTGCGCGCCGCCGGCGGAGGCTGCTGTGACGCTGCTGTGTGACGGGTGACGATGTGACGCTGTGACGCTGCCGTGTGACGCTGTGGTGTGACGGTGCCGCGCCCGTTCGCAGGTCGCCCGCGGCCACTGAGCCCCATGGGCGTCCCTGGCCACGACCGTCCGGGCAGCGGTCTGGGCCACGCGCGCCGGCCGCGGCCGCGAACTGAGAGCGGCGGCCGGGCGGCCGGCGGCGACCCGCTCTCCCACCCCGCCTCAGGAGTCTGGTTCTGGTGAGTTCTGTTGGACCACCGCGGGACCGCGGCGTCTGCTGTTGGACCACAGCGGGACCGCAGCGTCTGCTGTTGGACCACCGCGGGACCGCAGCGTCTGCTGCTGGACCACCGCGGGACCGCAGCTTCCGTCCCCCGCCGCTCACCGTGGACCGCCTTTGTTTGTTTTGTTGGGTTAGGCCCTTTCGGTCGACAAGACCATTGCAGAGCCGGAAGGATGATAGGAATTAGGGGGAGACATTGGTCTGGGCAGGCACCCTAGTGAGTCGCCGGGGCTGAGCCCGTCCAGAGGACAGGCCACCCAGCCCCAAGGCACTCACTGCACCCGGCTACGGGGTGCGCTCCCTCAGGAGCAGCGGTGCCGCTCCAAGGGAGCAGCCCGCATGAGATAAAGTTGCCTGTCCAGCCCGGAGGGGGGGGGGGGGTTTGCGGCTTGGAGGAGAAGGACTTCAGTATCCTGAGGATAGAAGCACGGATAGGTGGTGGACCGCCGCTCACTCTGAGCTGTGGACGGATTGTTGGTGGAGTTTCAGTTCAGTTCTGTCGTTTCCCGTTGTATCGCTGGTGTGTTTTCAGCGTCTGCCCTCCGTTTGCAGTGACGGTGAGATAGTTCCCGGCGGGCAACCGATCCGGCTCGCCGACCGCAGCGCCACCTGCGCCCCGCCCGGCGCTGAAACTTCTCCGTCGGGCGGAGAGATGGCGGCACCGGTGTTCGCCTACCCTCTGCAGAGCCGATCCGTGATGGAGGGCGACCGTGTCCGGCTCGACGCCACAGTCACTGGTGGGTAACAAAATGACAGAGTTAACCAGGTTATCATCTCCGTTATCTTTCGGTTTCTTTTTTAACAGAGAAAATTGAATTGTTTTGTCAGCCATCCGTCATCGTGCCTGATTTCACAGTCATTTAGCGAGTCTCTCGTGTTCATTGGCACCCTGTGCAGAATCCCTGAAGACTGCAAGACGCAAGTGCAGGTAGTCATTACGGTTCTGTTGCACTGCTGGGCCGTCCCGCTGTAACCGTCGTGCCCCGTTTTTCCACCAGGCGCCGAGCCACTCAAAGTCACCTGGGTGAAGAACAACGTTCCGATTCGCGACTGCGCCGACTTTCGTCACGTGACCGCGGCCGGAGGGCATTTCTCGCTGGTTATCGACGACATCTACCCGGCCGACGAGGGCTTCTACTTCTGCGAGGCGTGGAACGCCCACGGCCGCACCGTCTGCCACTGCCACGTGACCGTCCTAGGTGAGCTGCTGCACTACCGACACAAACCGCCCTAGGTGAGCCCCCCCCCCCCCCCTACCTTCTGCCACTGCCACGGGACCGTCCTAGTTGATCCGGCCCCAATGGCCAGTGGGTCCACTGGCGAGTCACCAATGGGCTAACTACTCACTACCGGTGTTCGCCGGGTCACCCGGTGGGTCACCAGTCGGTCAGTTGATAGTTCATCAGCTGGCCGCCAGGGGGTTGGCTGGTAGGTCAGCCGGTAGGTCGCCACTCACCACCGGGAAACCGGTGGCGCCGCCGTCTCTGCGTACTAAGTGACCGACGGAACCTCATAACTATGTTGATATGTTGTATGCTTCATGTTGTCATGGCGGGAGATGACATCCCAAACGAGTATGTTTTCCGGATTCAGACTGTGTTGTGTGGTCTCAGCACGTAACCAGATAGGCCATAAGCCGATAGAGACCTCTAGCCCGGGCAATGGGCATGCTCAAGCCGAAAGAGGCTGACCCCGCGCTGCTGTGCTGTTTATGTGCTGTTCCCAGGCCGCGCTGCTGTGCTGTTTATGTGCTGTTCTCAGGCCGCGCTGCTGTGCTGTTCTCAGGCCGCGCTGCTGTGCTGTTTGTGTGCTGTTCTCAGGCCGCGCTGCTGTGCTGTTCTCAGGCCGCGCTGTTGTGCTATTCTCATACCGCACTGTTGTTTTGTTCCCAGAGGATGACGGGGCGGCGGAGCGGCCGTCCGCCGCCGCCGACCCCGCCGCCGGCCGGGCGGTGGCGGCGCCGGCCGGAGCGGCTGTCCGGCTCTGGGTGCGCTCCACAGGGGTGGCCACCGTCCAGTGGTCCCTGAACGGCCAGCCCGTGCAGCGGCTCGACCCGGCCAGAGTCAAGGTCAGATCACACTCACATACACACCCGGCGGGAGTCAAGGTCAGCTCACATACACAGCCGGCGGGAGTCAAGGTCAGCTCACACTCCCCCGGCGCGAGTCAAGGTCAGCTCACACTCCCCTGGCGCGAGTCAAGGTCAGGTCACGCTCCCCCCCCTCCCCCCGGCGCAAGTCGATGTCAGCTTACACTCCCTCGGCCCCTCCGTGCTAGCGTATGTACAGTGTCGTCACCCCCAGTGCCGCTGAAATGCTGCATGCTGCAAACGCACTGTTGTTTTTGCTGAAGTAAATATTTATTTACTTCAGCAAATTTATCGCTTTTCATCACTATGTTTAAAGAGAACCGCGAAGCGGTCTTCACCAGAGGATCGTTCAGGCCGAGTTCGCGCAGAAATGAAAAGGAAACCAAGGTCACTCACAGAACCCACGATATGCAAAAGCCGACGAGTAGTGCAGCCTGGGCGCCACAGCCGCCAGTGCTGCGGGCACCCGGTCTAATTACCCACGGCGATAGTCGGCCTCTGGCGCCGCTCGAGTGGCCGGTGTGCGGGCTCCGATACTGACCGCTGCGCGCGCCGATACAGCCGGCAGCTATCAGCCGCAATACGGAGCCTGCGTGGCTCGGCCGCTGCGCCCGGTCAGTGGCCGGGTCCCGTGTGGAGCGGTGGCCGGGTCCCGGTGGAGCGGTGGCCGGGTCCCGTGTGGAGCGGTGGGTGGAGCGGTGGCCGGGTCCCGTGTGGAGCGGCGGGTGGAGCGGTGGCCGGGTCCCGGTGGAGCGGTGGCCGGGTCCCGTGTGGAGCGGTGGGTGGAGCGGTGGCCGGGTCCCGGTGGAGCGGTGGGGGGAGCGGTGGCCGGGTCCCGGTGGAGCGGTGGCCGGGTCCCGGTGGAGAGGTGGCCGGGCCCCGGTGGAGCGGTGCAGTTGGCCGGGTCCCGGTGGAGCGGTGGCCGGGTCCCGTGTGGAGCGGTGGGCCGGGTCCCGGTGGAGCGGTGGCCAGCGGTGACGGACCGGTGACGGCTGTGTGACGGACGTGACGGACCGGTGGTATGTGACGGGTGGGGAGGGGACTGCGGACCGGACGGTGGGTGACGCGGGGTACGTGACCCGCCCGTCCCGACACCTGTAGTGACGTCACGCGTCCTGTCCGAGCTCGGACTCTGATTGGCTGGAGGTGCTCGGCCGTGTGCCGTCCATTGGCACTGCAGTGACACGGGGCGGCATGTGGGCAGCGTGCCGCCCCGTCCGCCGGCCGCGGGACGGGGGGGGGGGGCATGGAACCGGGATTTTTACAGGTGAACGGTGTTTTCGTGCGGTAAACGGCATGAGTGCTGACACGAACTGGAGTTTTTCCTCATTCCCATTGTCGTATCTGGATTTACATCGGATTGATATGAACACGGCCTGTTCTATCCAATGAAAGCCGACAGGCAGCCCAGATTACATCAGTTTCCGTAAAATCTCGGAGCTGTTAGTCGAAACTTCAATTTTGCTAGATTTAACCCTCGCCGGACCTATTGGTTTTCTACATACGCGCCGGCCGAGGGGGGGGGGGGGGCGGGTACGACCCCCCCTCGCCGTTTCGCCCCTGGTGGAGCTAGCGCGTCGCGGAAAAAACGAGCGTGTGCGCCGTTACGAGACGCAGAGATTGGTACCCGATTTTAAGGTCCTAGGTCAACCGGTGACCTCTGAGGTCAGGTCAAGTGCCCCAGGGTACGGTTCAGTTTTTGGTGAATACCTTCGCAAAAAACGGCCGCAGAGCCGCGATTTTGGCAGCATCGTGTTCGCCTCGCTCAGGCGCGTCGAATGGTATACTTTTTGTCCGGGTCAGGTCAACTTGGGGTGTTGACCTCAGGTCAAGGTCAGGTCAGCACCCCCAGGTCACGAAGTTGGTCGAAAGAGGTCATGTCGCATATCATTCGATTCGGCAGGTCTTCCTGAGTCCAGTGGTGGCTTTCTCGACTCGCTAGCTCAATTTGATCGGGAGTTATTGACGAAAAACTAATATGACCTTGATGACGTCATAAATGACGTCACGGAAGGTCAACATTGCAAAAGTGACGCATCTAACCTTGCAAGGAGTGCATCAAATCACGATTCTGTGTGCTTGAGATAGTTGGAGATCGTTCCCGGCGCCAGAATAGCAGTTTTCATTTTTCCCCATTGACTTATAATGGTGAGGTCACGAAAATGACCTGACCTCATATGACCTTTAGGAAAAATCCGAGATATACAAGTTGTGAGACTCATAATGGATACTAGATCCTGCAAGTTTCATTTCCCTGTGGCATCTCCTCTGGCAGTGAGGGCGTTGCGAAGTTGCGACATCTGAAGACCGTGCAGAGGTTCACTTATGACGTCATAGGTCAGTGACCTGACCTGACCCAAAAATGCGGTTGGTGTCAAAAGATGCGGCTTGGATCAAAGGTCAGGTATGCCAAGTTTCAGCTCTCTATCGCCAGCGTGTTCGGAGCTATCGCGAAAAAACCCTATGGGGGGGGGCGGCACCCGCCCCCCCCCCCCCTCGGCCGGCGAGGGTTAAGGTGCACGCACACAGTGCATTTTTTCTTTTACCCTATTGTCAAAAGTAAATGTTTTTCTTCGACGTTTTCTGGTGCATGTTCCTTTTTTAATTTCCTCCTAAGCATGGAGAAATGTTACATAGCGTGCTTTTACCTGAACAAATAACGTTTGTATAAATCATAATGCATAGTTCACTTTCATCGTTTGGATGACTCATGACCTTTTCGTGGAGACGATAATGAAAAGATATTCATAGGTAGGTACTGTCATCCGCCAGTCCAATAACGCCCGGCCCAAAATCAGTTCAGTAACGCCCGGCCACTGTCAGTCCTATAACGCCCGGCCACTGTCAGTCCTGTAACGCCCGGCCACTGTCAGTCCTGTAACGCCCGGCCACTATCAGTCCTATAACGCCCGGCCACTGTCAGTCCTATAACGCCCGGTCAGTCCTGTAACGCCCGGCCACTGTCAGTCCTGTAACGCCCGGTCACTGTCAGTCATGTAACGCCCGGCCACTGTCGGCCCAAAATCAGTTCAGTAACGACCGGCCACTCTCATTCCAATAACGCCCGGCCCCTGTCAGTCTAATAACGCCCGGCCACTGTCAGTCCTATAACGCCCGGCCACTGTCAGTCCTATAACGCCCGGCCACTGTCGGTCCTATACTTAACGCCCGGCCACTGTCGGCCCAATGACGCCCGGCCACTGCCAGTCGTGTAACGCCCGGCCACTGTCAGTCCTGTAACGCCCGGCCAATGTCAGTCCTGTAACGCCCGGCCACTGTCAGTCCTGTAACGCCCGGTCACTGTCATTCCTGTAGCGCCCGGCCACTATCAGTACTATAACGCCCGGCCACTGTCAGTCCTGTAATGCCCGGCCCCATGTCGGTCCTGTAACGCCCGGCCACTGTCAGTCCTATAACGCCCGGCCACTGTCAGTCCTATAACGCCCGGCCACTGTCGGTCCTATACCTACCTAACGCCCGGCCACTGTCAGTCCTATAACGCCCGGCCACTGTCAGTCCTGTAACGACCGGCCACTGTCAGTCCTGTAACGTCCGGCCACTGTCAGTCCAATAACGCCCGGCCACTGTCGGCCCAATAACGCCCGGCCACTGTCGGCCCAATGACGCCCGGCCACTGCCAGTCGTGTAACGCCCGGCCACTGTCAGTCCTGTAACGCCCGGCCACTGTCGGCCCAAAATCAGTTCAGTAACGACCCTCCACTCTCATTCCAATAACGCCCGGCTACTGTTACTCCTGTAACGCCCGGCCCCTGTCGGCCCAATAACGGACAGACACACTGTCGGTTCTGCGCCGCACCTGCAGTGCGCCACTGCTGAATCAGCAACACCTCTCAGCTGTGAATCCGGGAAACACTCCACAGAGGATAAGGCCGATCACTGCGCGCTGCTCAGACCCGATGACTCGGAAGCGGCCTGTCCTTGAGGGACGAGACGCGCAGTGAGCGCGCCGCTGACATCACTGCCCTCTGAACTACCGGGCTCTTGAGAACACTATTTGTATGGGTCGCGTTCTGTCATTTCAACTTTTATCTGTTGAAAATGGGAGATAATAAGGTAGTATCGCATTCACGAGCGCAACTTGTTGACCTGACGTCGTATCTTCTAAAACTGATTTCAAACGACGTAGGCACAATTGTTCATCCAGAATTATATAACCAAGACTGGTCTGAAAACATCTGTCACATGACCTACAGCAAATAATACAAGCTGTTTTTACCCTTGACCTGACCTTGACCTGTCATGTGACCTCCGAATTCTAAAGTCTGGATTGCTTCAGATGTTTCTCTGTGAAACCATTCCAACGCGTCTTGTGGGCCTCGCTACGATGCTTTGTTTCGGAAATAATCTGAACAAGCCTTGTAATGAAGGTATGAGGAACACTTTTCTCAGCTCAGTCAATAGCGTTCATCTGAGGCTCAATCAAGCGCGAGTTTTGTCTCATGAGACAGGCACGTACATACCTACCCTTTGAAGGCAGCGCGTTGATCTTATCAAGCTTCGTAAATGGTGCTGGTACCTTTTCCCACGTACAGAGGAAATAACTAGCTAGGTTCTTCTTGGAAATGCCGTATTCCGCCTAGGTCTCCTTGTGATTCGTCCCAATTAAATGAGTGCTAATTTTCGTCGCAAAGAGGCATTCCGAGAACCCAAACACAAATAGACACTGATTTGTAGCACAATGTCATGACTCATGAGCCGAAGTGAATTGCCCGGAAAAGAGTAGGTATTTGTAACGTTCGAAAATAGATCAAGGAGGTAAATTAGGAAGGTCGCAAATGGATGATCTGTAACCGGTCACAGAGCAATTGTTCGCCAGAATGTGCGCTAAGGTGCAATGGGAAAAGCTGTCAGCCGGGCCTGTCTGATGTTACGGCTGTCGTCCATTTACGGCTAGTTCTAGCATATCAGAGCTCATAGCCTTGGCGCTCGGCTCACAGCTCCGTCCCCAGCTCACAGCCCCGTAGTAGGCCCACAGTTCTGTCACACCAGGTCACAGCCCCTAAAGTAGGCTCACAGCCTCGCATCCCCCACCCTTCATCATCTGACAGGCCGCCCTCCCATCATCTGAGACCCCTTCCGTCGCCGTCTGACGGTGCCGTCTGGTCCGCCGGCAGGTCTCGCAGTCGGGCGGCGCGCACGCGCTGGAGATCCTCCGGCTGACGGAGGCCGACGCCGGCACGGTGGAGGTGAGCGTGCGCGGCCCGGCCGGCAGCTGGCGCTCCCAGGTGGCGCTGACGCTGGCGGCGCCACCGGACGCCGGCGTCAGTCGGGCGCCCACCGACGTCACCGGCACACACCGCGCGGCGGCGCCCGCTCTGGAGAACGGCGTCAGACACTCGGCCGAGGGCGGGCGAGGCGGCGGCGCCAGCGGGTCTAGCGGCCTCCCGGCCGAGAGAGCGCAAGAGCCGGAGGACCGGACACCGCAGCCCAGCAGTCAAACGGAGCAGCCCGACCGGGCGCCGGAGCCCAGCAGTCAAACGGAGCAGCCCGACCGGGCGCCGGAGCCCAGCAGTCAGACAGGACAGGCCGACCGGGCGCCGGAGCACACCAGTCAAACTGAGCGGCCCGCAGCTACCCTATCAGACCGGGCGCCGGAGTCCAGCAGTCAAACGGAGCAGGAGAGTGAGGAGGAAGAGTCACACAGCCGCAAGTCTAGTCTGGTCGAACCGCACAGCCGGAAAAGCAGTCTGTTCGACTCTTGCAGTCGTAAGAGCAGTGTGACAGACTCTTCTAGCAGTCGTAAGAGCAGTGTGACAGACTCATCTAGCAGTCGTAAGAGCAGTGTAGCCGACTTTGGCAGTCGTAAGAGCAGTGTGGCCGACTCCTGCAGTCGTAAGAGCAGTGTGGCCGACTCCTGCAGTCGTAAGAGCAGTGTGGCCGACTCCTGCAGTCGTAAGAGCAGTGTGGCAGACTTTGGCAGCCGGCGGAGCTCGCTGGGCGCCGAGCGCCGGCTGATCGTGCAGGGCCCGGCCAGCCTGGCCGTGCTGCTGGGTCAGACGGCGCGACTCGAGTGTCGTCTCCAGCCGCCCGACGACATGGACGCGCCCACCGCCGTCGTCTGGAGCAAGGCGGTGAGTGTGCGGGTGTGGGCGATCCAACACTGGTCAGCAGTCATCCAGTGTTCAGTCCTTTCCCAAAACCACCACCACAAAAGAGTCGAACTTCCATTGTGTTTGTTATTGTGTTTGTTAATCCCGACAAGCTCTTCTTACACACCCTGAAAACTGCACAATGCATTCGAAAGATTTGCAGCCGACCAAAATATCTGTTAGAAATTAGAGGGCAGATCACGATATCTGCCTATTTATCTATCGATCGGCTGGCTGCACCAAGTGCTGTTCGCGGGCCAATATGCCTGCCTAATATTTAGCTATCTATCGACTGACACCGTGGTGCGCTGTTCGCGGCCTGCTATCGCGGCCGCCCGCCGACTCCGCTATACCTGTATTTGCCAATAGCGCTGTACGTGCGCTGGCGACCGCCGACCTATCGTGTTTGACAGATTAGAGAAGGTCGCCGTGGTAAACGACCGCTGGTCATGCTCGGACCATTGTGCATCTCTTGTATAGGCTGAGTTGGTATGATTCTGAAAATATCTTGCGGTTTTTACGTATTCCTTCAAAGAAGGGGTATTTATAGGGTTTTCCCAAAGTGTTTTATTCTCTTGTCTAACTCCCGAGCAGATGATCGTAGAATGATGTGGAAAACGGCAATCGCAGCTTTTAACAAGATGGATCTTCGGACCACACTTTTGCATAATTAGGTCACAGGATGGGTCAAAGTCAGGTCCAGGGCAAAAACTGCAAGCTTCTTTATTATTGGCTTCGAAGCCTGGTTGTCGAAAATGGACTGAGTCTGATCACCCAAACGCGTTCTTAGACCACCAAGACAAAATGCATTGCACACAATGTCATGCAAAGGTCAATGTCATATCAGGTCATTAAGGACAAGATCATCAAAGACCGTATCAAAGAGTGATATGGACCATACTTGGATGAATTGCCATGGTTGAGGTCGGGTCAAGGTCAGGTCAAGTGACATCAAATTTTAAAGTTGGTTTGTATGACCAAAATTACGTCTATCTGATGTACCCAGATTTTAAGGACGAACAAAAATGGTGCTTTATATTCTTGTACAGTGTGTCTAAAAAGAATGTACCGTCGCCACTACGTGGCGCTGGTGTCGCGAGCCGGTAGTTGGCTGAATCCGCACCAGACCACACATTCCCAGGCGCTAGGTGACAGCTGCGCAGCGGCCGGTAGTAGCGTAAGCCCGAACCTTCGTGACACGACCCCGGGGGGGGGGGAGGGAGGGGAGCGGGCGGGGCAGCGCGTGTAGGGAGGGGTGCTCCAGCAAGCTGGCAGTTGTCGCGGCCAAAGGTCAAGGGGTCACACACCAAGCGAACGGACGCTGATGTGGGTTCGTGGGGATCATGAACTTGTGTGTGGTAGGTGCGTATTGCGAAGCACGGGTGATACGCCAGGTCTAAGCCAAAGGATTCAGGGGAGAGCTGAAGAAAACACCTGGTCAACTACGGCGAATAATAGTGCTGAAAAATGGAAAGTATGGGTCAATGCAAGCCTTCATGACTATAAACAACTTTCTGAGGACGCAAAGGCCAGCATTGAATAACGATATCCGGATCGAAATTAGCAATGATTTATAATTAAATGCCGAACTAATAGCGCTGCAAAACCCTCCTAGTAAATTGTCAAGTCGGATTATACCCACTTGAATTAAACTATCCTAAATAAAATTGTTGATTAACTTTCTAACACTGACGTTCTTTATCATACGATAAGTATGAGGTTAACCAAGATTCAGCATCTTCCGCGTTCAAACAATCACCTGTAAGGCTAGAACATTAATGGCCAGGTAAAAACATGGTCGGGATTTGATTAACCGGATTATAAGTCGATTTTTTTAGTCGGGATTTGATAGGTCAGATTTTTTTACGCCAACCGCATTTTTAAGTCAAGTCAGGTCACTGATCTATGACGTCATAAATGAGCAGTCCTAAAATGAACTGTGTGAAACTGTCCTAAACTGTCCTCAACATTTTAGGACTGTGTGCACACTCCTAAAATGTTCAACTTCGCTACACCCTCAGTGCAGAGCTTTCATAGGGAGATGAAACTTACAGGATCTTATAGTACGAGGTGTGGCTAAAAAGAAACCGGACAGCTCGTGCTGGCCATAGAGTAGGGGGCCCAAAGACTAGCGAGCCACTTGACATTAATCTTCATCATATTGTCGTGATGTGTGCCAAACGGCACCTCGTTATCGCTATTATTCTCCTTTCCACAGCTCTTTGTTTTATTGATGTTGGACGGCCTTGTCACCGCCAGGCTTCTACAACGAGCGTCGAAAAAAGAAGGAACATCACGTTCCTTGCCAGACTGAAGAAAAGTCCAACAGAGACGCTGAATCTGTTCAAGGCTGTTTATGGGGAGCAAGTCATGTGTCACATGCAAGTGTTTGAATGGCATACGAGGTTCAGCACTGGTCGTGAGGATGTCGGTGATGACCCCAAGGTCTGGAGGTCCATCAACGTCCGCGCGCATGTCGAAGTCGAGGGTGGAGACGACATTGATCGTCTTTTTCGATCATAGGGGATTCGTTCACCGTCAGTTCGTGCTGGAGGTGTGCCACAGTCGACCAGCATTTCTACAAGGAAGACCCGGGACGCCTCATCTCACGAGTCGAACGCACCAAGTGGAATTACTGAGAAGCCAAGAACTGGGTGCTGCATCACGACAACGCGCCCGCGCATTCTGCCATTAGCGTCAAGCAGTTTTTTGGCGAAAAGCAGGTCGCGGTGCTCAAGCACCCTCTTTACTCGCCAGACCTCCCTCCCTGTGACTTTTGGCTGTTCCCTAAAATGAAAAACGTCGTCAAGCAAACCCATTTTGAATCGGTCGAAGACACCCAGACCAGAGTGACCGGCGTCAGCGTCATTAATAAAACAAAGAGCTGTGGAAAGGAGAATAATAGCGATATCGAGATGCCGTTTGGCACACATCACGAAAATATGATAAAAATTAATGTCAAGTGTGTCGCTAGTTTTTGGGCCCCCTACTCTATGGCCAGCACGAGCAGTCCGGTTTCTTTTTAGCCACACCTCGTATGATCGAGAGTCTCATAACTTGTATTGAAATGTATATCTCGGATTTTCTGAAGGGTCGCCTGAGATCAGGTCAGTCTCTCACCATTAAAAGTCAGGGGAATATGGAAATTGCTAGTTTGGTCCGGAAATGATATACAACTATCTCAAATTCTCAAGCACACGGAATCGTGATTTCATGCGCTCCTTGCAAGGTCTGATGCTTTAATTTTGCTTTGTTGATCTTGCGTGACGTCATTTATCACGTAACCAAGGATATCAGTTTTTCGTCAATAACTCCCGATCAACTAAAGCTACCGAGTCGATAAAGCCACTAATAGACATGAAAAGACCTGCCGAATCGATTGATATGCAATATGACCTCCTTTGACCAGCTTCGTGACCTGACGGGCTGTGACCTGACCTTGACCCGAGGTTAACACCTTAACTCTCGCCCATATTGGTGTTTTTCCAGCCGCAAACGTATAAGGGGGGGGGGGGGGTCCGTTGGACCCTCCCTTGCCGTTTCGCCCCTGATCGAGCTAGAGCTTCGCGGAAAAAACGAGCGTGTTGGCCGTGACGAGAGGAAGTCGATGATACCCAATTTTAAGGTCATATAGGTCATCGGTTGACTTTCCAGGTCAGGTCAATGACCCAAAAATCGGGAAAATCGGGCCTGTTAGAAAGTCGTAAAGCGTGGCTGCTATGGGGTTTTCGGGGTGCTGATCACGAATATCATGTTAGTTTTGATCACAGATGATGTCTTTATGCATTTAGGCCAGGTCGGGTCAGGTCAGGTCAGGTCGACCAGTAAGGGTATTCGTAGTAGGTGGCAACCGCCTCTGACAGCTTCGCAACATGTTACGAGGGCACCAAAACTACTTCGTAAATGTTTATATGGCTGCTAAATTCGAATTCAGCTCCTAAAACTGGCCTAGAAACATGTAAAACTCGAAAAGTGAACCGAGGTCATCAAAGGTCAATGACCTGACCTGACTTTCCGGTGACCTTGACACCCACCCTAATGCATGGAAGCAACATCATATCCCATGTTTGAACGCTTAAAATCACGAAAAGACTGCAAACGCGCCGCTAATGCGAGCCGACATACGCCGAATCGCGATTCCGGCCAAACATGGTCTCGAAAAGTAGGTCGCAGGTCAAAGGTTATTAAGGTCAGGGTCATGACAATTTCAGGGTGGGTGTAAAATTGATTAAAGCGAGAGTAACGAAAGTTTCGTCGCGATCGGCCGCTTTTTACGCGAGTTATTCGCGAAAAACCGAGGGAGAGGGTCCGTTCGACCCCCCCCCCCTCTATACGGGCGAGGGTTAAGTTGATCTCACCCGAAGAAAAAGTATACCATTCGACACGCCTGAGCTAGACAAACACGATGCTGCTAAAATCGCGGATCTGCGATCATTTTTAGCGAAGTTATTTACCAAAAACCGAACCTGTGCCTTGGGCCACTTGACCTGACCTCCGAAGTCATCGGCTGACCCTGGTCCTTAAATCGGAGACCAATCGCTGCATTTCGTAACGACGCACACGATCGTTTCTTTCGTGAGGCTCTAGCTCAATAAGGGGCGAATCGGCGAAGGGGGTTGTTTCCTCACTTCCAACCCCCAACGTCCCTCGGTATTCAGAAAACCTGAAGGTCCGGTGAGGGTTAAAACGTTTCTCCTGAACGAGGAAGAAATGTAAAAGTCAAAGCTCTATAGACGTCCTGTAAAAGTGGCCATAATAATAAATTCGTTAGAAATAAGATGCTTTTTAAACGACTTCCTCATATAAAATCGGGTGCTGGGACCAATCTTATAAACGCTTTAGAATGGACAGGGCGTCACTGGCTAAAGTTTGGGTGCAGAAAACGGCTATTACCTAAATGCAAAATGGTTTTCATGCATTTCAGTCAATTGTATATTGTCGGTCCCAGTGGCCGAGCTAAAAAAAAAAATAGGTAGTGTTTT